CGCTGTTAAGGATGCTGGGTTGAATACATAATTCATTTTCTGGCATAAAAGCAATACTAATAAAACTGTACCACCAAATACTTAGCAATGTAAAGCTTAAGCCATCCACAAATCTCCATCTGAACAATATTGTCAAGTGACACCATCTCTGTATTGTACCTATAAACACAAGCAGTGGACCTTCATTATAGAGAGTGAGAGCGAATGTCCCAAAGGAGAGATCAAACCTCACAGATAATTATGTGGTAAAATAGCTCTATGCAGCGAGCAATTAAGGCTATGAAATTACAAATACGTTCCATTTTCATTGAACAAAACATTAGATATATTATTATATATATATATATATATATATATATATATATATATATATATATATATATATATATATATATATATATATATACACATATATATATATATACACATACACATATTACATATATAGAGAAAACACTGTTGTGATAGAAACAACAGGATGATAAACTTATGATAATTTTGGTTTGCTTGAAGTGTGACATGAGGAAAATGTGAGAAAGTTTTCCACTCCAACCACACAGTAGTTTCAGAAGGTAGTTTCAGGCCTTACAACCGCAAACTCTCAATGCAAGAAAGTGATGAAGCACATGAACTGTAGACAAGAATAATATGCCCTGCTTCAATTATTTACCTGAACAAACTACTTCCACAATATAAAAAAGGTACTTGTGCTCATAAAAAACTAAAGCCAGCAAAAATAAAAATGATACTTCTACTGAACTACAGCCTAAGCCTAGTTACAAATAATAGCACTTTTATCCTTTCTCTTTATTAGGTGAAAGCACACTATGTAGACAGTTATTAATAAAAGCCACCCCTGTGAGACCAACCTGACACATAGAGATTTCCTGCAGCTCAGGGCACATTTCAGACCATGTCACCCTCCCTCTCCTTCTCACAGTGTAATTTCTGCCTGTACAAAACAATACGTCAGTTTAATCACCTTTCTTTTCAACATAGAATATCCTTGCAGCAGGAGGAGAGAGGAAAAATGCCTCTTCTAAACTACAGGCTAGCCTTACAGATGACAGGTTATAGCAAACACAATGCCGAAGAGTACAAGCACCAGGCGCATGCTATTATGGTGGGGGAATCATCTCTCCTGACAGTTGAGCGTGAAGGGAAAGATCTAGTGACGCTGTTGAGGTGAAAAAGTGCGACATGCCTCTATGCCCGCTGCATGTAAACATTTCATTTCAGAGCATATTGACAAAACAAAAATGTACATACAGAGAGGGAGTGGATTTTTTACCACAGACACTCACAGCCTTATACTCTAACATGCATAGGAAAATAGCAGGCTTATTAGACTCTTCTTATGCTGCTATATAAGATTAACTTTGGATGGAAGGAGCGTGTGCCACTGGATACCAAGTAATTTTACCCACTGCTGAGACAAGATCCCATTCAAATTGAAACACTATCAAACAGCCTGACCTCCACTGACCCCTAAAGCCTGCAGATAATATGGACTCGGAGGACTGCATTGCAATGAAAAGATACAGATATAACATCAACGTGAATGTATAACTAGGAACTGTGGAATGAAAGCTTTGTGTTCTAAGTAGTTTAATTTAATACAAACACTCAACCCAACATTACATGCAGTGAAGTAATCAACAAAGGGCTCGTAATGGTAGAGCTTGGTAACCTGACCTCACCAGTTCAAGGTCTAAGTGGTTGTTAAGGAAAATCAAAATGTAGAACAGTGGCAATAGGAGGCAGGGCCAAAAAGGTGTGTTAAAGTAGTACATACTTAGGCTATATAAAGGATGTGCTTTAAAATTATGGATAGCAAATTGACTACTATTAATTACATTATGACATTAACCCATTTCAAATGCAAGTTAACATGAGAAAGACAAAATGAATTCAAAACCTTAAATGTGTTTAGACCATAACTACGTTAAGTCAAGTAATGCAATTAAACAATTTCTAATCACACTAATACTTCAAACAGTCCTGATTACCAAAACAGCTTTTTATGGTTACAAAGGCAGTGCCACATTAAACAACTACAAAACGTGTATATGGTGTCACCACTACATTTTCTTAGACTCTGGGCTCTAAAACAAGTGGGCATTCAAAAACAAGCTTTTGATCACTGCCCATTGCTTCATTAGCTCTGGTGAAGTCCACCACTGTGCAGCCTGTGAATAAGTCAGGAGTGAGTCATAAGCACTCAATAAAAATAAATCCTCTGCTTTTACTTGCTCAGGGAAAAAAACATCTTCTCAAAGAAATCTAAAGGCGCTCTTAATGCGTGACTTATGTAGCAGAAAACACAGTGACATCTCAGCTGTTTCGTGTAATACTATCTACAGACCAGAGTTCGCATAATCATTGATCTACAATAATTTTAGCACAGTGTGTCACAAAATATATCAACGTGATACATATTAAAACACTACACAGGAACAGAACAGGTAAAAAAGTGTCCGTTATTATGTGATGCTGTAAACAAATAGCAAGTAGTGTATTAGGAAGTAGTTTGTCAATTGCATATCCAAGAATGAGTCACACGTGTCATTCAAGGTAAACCCATTTGTAGGACAGCCCAAGCAAAATATCCTGTCTTTTCTGACATGTTGATGCCAGAACACAGTGAAAAGTAAAGAGCACAAAGACTACCAAGTTAGCTCACCAGCTGCTAACGTAAGCTAATGACAATGGCTGAGGGGGTTTGGACTATTCCCTGAGACACTTGCAAAGCAGTAAGTGATCATAATGGAAAATTGGCACTAAACGCGTGACAAACTTGGCGACAAGCATGCGAACAAACATCCTGATATAATGTGACCATGAAACCTTGTACTTCTTGTGCTTTGTGCTAACCGGTGTCAGTAAATGGTTTGTTTCCAGATATTACACTGCTCCTCGTTGCCTTTCTTCAATCAGTGCTAGTCACTGACGCTAGCCGCTAACGTTACTCCACAGTAACCAGTAGCAACCAAGTCTATTAGCATTCTATTAGCCAACCAGCTAGCCAATGCTAATGGGCAAATTAGCCAAATAGCTACGAGGCTATGGATGGCGTTAACACTTGTACGTTTACAAACATGACACCAATAACAGCATTTTCTCTAGCGTTTGCACACAAATGTAAAAAGGCAAAATGTAGCTTTTAGCATCACTTACCTTAAAGGGCTTGATCTACAACATCTGTGATTTGTTTGATGAGAGGCTGCAACAACAAACAAAAGCAGCAGTAGGGGCAATTAGCCAGAGCCAAGTGTCGCCAGAGTAACACCACAACTGCAGTGCCACCTGTATGTGGGTTCTGATGGAGCTACGGCGAGGCAAAACACGTTTGATATAATGCTGTCATAAATGATGGAGTTGAGGATAAAGAGGGAGTAATCGGTGCCGGGATGCTCAGACTAGTGTGTGTGAGAGGCACTCAGCATGACAGCATCCTCCTTCATCTTGGGGTGAGAGCAGTTGGGGGGATCTGAAAGTTCAGCCGGTAAAATATCGTCACCCACTGGACAAAACAGGGAACATTCACTGAGAGCTGCAAGAGCTGAATGAGACAGCAACTTCGATTGGTAAAAGACATTTGTTTTTGAATATTATCAAAATATAAATATCATATTTTATTATAATAAAAACATACACTTTATTTATTTATTTATTTATTTATTATAAACGAACTCTAGGCTGTAAATTTTGTTTTTATGAAGGACTTAATTTATAGTTAAGTCTACAGTGACAACAAAATAAATACTATGCATTTTTAAATCATGCAATCAGAGTTATGCTATCTGAATGTGCTTTTGTGTAAGAAGTGCATTGTACACTGGGCCATTATGAAAGCCTGGTTCAAAAGCAGTCGTGATTGATAATGCACACTAAACATGTAGGTTCAGCTGCCTCCTGCAGAAAACAGGAGGAAATAACGTCCAATTAGCCAAAGGGAGCGAAAAGCCCCTGTTGTGCACTGTCCCACAATTTCAGGACAAAGAATGGCAACATTTTGTAAATGTAAGGACAAATAATAACTGTGTCACTATTTAGGAAAATCTAGGGGGGGAAGTATCAATGAAGGCTTATTGCTTATTGCTACACAAGGCAAATATTTCAACAAAGTTATCTAAATCGAAATATGTTCTAACACAGGCCTACATTTCTTGCTAAATCTGTAGTGTGGACACAAATAAAAATCGTATATTGAAGCCCAACCTACAGGTGTTTTATGGACATTGTGTCGTCATGTACATTGTTGGACACAAGAGGGCGCCGATTTCAAAGAAAAAAAAAGATTTTCTCAAAATCCTTCACATCTCATGCTCATCTTTATCTCAATTTTAAATTTTAATATTGCATACAACATAGCTCATACATATAGTTACTAGGCAGGTCAACCTCCCATGCAATTCATAATGATGGAGAATTTGTACTAGTGATTTGTTAGACATCTCCTAGGTGATGGCTGAACAATAGCGGCAGGTTGAGACAGGCTCACACAAAGTGGATTGGTATGGCATAGGCCCAGCTGGCAGTCCCCTGCGGTGCAATAGCTCTGCTGAATAGGGCGTCATTTATCTTGGCAAAGGGCTGCTGCAGAGGGAGCCGCTGGATTCTTTTACCCAGGGGGACAGAAATGGCGTCCCAGTACAGCGAGATCATGTTGCTGCCTCTCTGTGGGACTCAGATTACATCAAACATTTTCAACTGTGGGGTGCCTAAATTGTATAGTATTTTAACATTTCACAACAATAAAGCTTCTTTATCGAGTAAATGTAAAGTACAAGTCATATTCTATGCAGGAGCAATTACGCCGTGTGTGAATATGTGGTATATGCAACACTTCTGTGATAGAAGAGAGTGAAGTGTAAATAAGTAGATTTTATGTTCATTAGTATGCAAATAAATAACCATAATAATGTATATACTGTTTGATATGACCCCTTGTGTTTCAAACTAATTATTTATTTGAATAAAGTAATAAGCTGAAAACATTTGAAACTGTATTGTTTAATAATACATATAGTGCCAATGCTTACAGTAACACAAGATCTTTTTGAATGGAACACACTGCACATAACTTGACTCTGACTCCTACTGGAGACAGAGCCACCCTAAAGTTACAGTAGCTCAGATATTCAGTAGAGGCAGTATTCACTAGAACTCACGAAAAGCTCAACAAAAATCTCTCACACAGTTATACAGACACAAACATAGGAACATAACTACTCAGGCGCTTAAGCAGAGTTTGGGATGAGCTGAGCTGTGGTGTACTAAGACATCTGTTGCTTATATACGCCACAGACCACAGACTTGGACCTTAGATTTAAGTGGTGTTCTTTTCACTTTCTTCTCTCTGTACGGGGCAGGCAACCTAGTGTGGCGTATATGTGTGGGGATTATTTATGAGCAATGAACACACTGGGGCCCAGTCAGGAAGACTGTCAGCTCAGATGGGGTGCCTGAAGTTCTGGCCAGCAAAACGGGCCTTGTCTCCAAGTTCCTCTTCAATCCTGTAGGGGGCATAAGAGTATGTTTATTATACTGACCACAGTATGGCTATCCTGTAACTAGTATCAAAGGCTTTTCACAGGTCCTTTTCCTTGATCCCATTAGTTAGTTAACAAGCCTTTATTTTTGCATCATTTAAAACACTCTAATCAGTGTTTAACATTGAATGTTATTCAGGGCACACCTACATATGCAGAATAAAACTTGTAAATGATAATTATATTATCCAGTTCTGTCTATGCAATATTTTGACATTATATGAAATTAGATGTGTAGTTAAGTTTGTATAGTGTAAACTATAGACTTACCTAAGCAGCTGATTGTACTTGGCCAAACGTTCAGATCGGCAAGGTGCTCCTGTCTTGATCTGTAAGACAAAAAGCATTTGTTTAGCTTTTAACTGTGACAAATTCCATATATATTTTAGCATAAAGGCATTTGTACCTGTCCGGTGCAGAGACCAACAACCAGATCAGCAATAAAAGTGTCCTCTGTCTCTCCAGAGCGGTGGCTGACCATCACACCCCAGCCATTGCTCTGAGCCATCTTGCAGCTAAAAACATACAACACATAAAATGAACGCTTTGGTTTTGACAACAGTTGTGTCATGCTTGCTTGGACACTTACGCCTGCAGAGACTCTGTGACAGAGCCGATCTGGTTCACTTTGAGCAGCAGGCAGTTGCAGGCCTTATCGGCCACAGCCTTAGCAATACGCTTGGGGTTGGTAACAGTCAGGTCGTCGCCCACAACCTGAATACTGGTTGTGGCGGTGAATTTGCTCCATGCCTCCCAGTCATCCTGGTCAAATGGATCCTCAATGGATACCACTGAAAAGTCAAAGAAACTATTAACAAACAACATAAAATAAAAAATATGTTTTTTAGACAATAAAGATAATTAATTCACTTACGACAATATTGTAAATATGCAAAAACAAACCACCATCAAAAAAAAAAAGTCAAAATAGATGTGGATGTGTTATAATTTAGGGGGTATTACATGTTTTTGTACATTATAAGTATTTTTCTCCAAAATAAATCATACCTGGATAATCTTTGACAAAGCTCTTGTACAGGTCCGCCAGTTGGTCAGGGCTGATGTAGCGGCTAGGGTCGTCCGGTGACTTGAAGTCCAGGTCATACTTTCCACCTTTGTAAAACTCAGAGGCAGCCACATCCATGCCAATCACAATCTTTTCAGTGTAGCCAGCCTTGGCTATGGCATTCTTCAGCAGCTCTAGGGCTGAAACCAAACACATTTGCCATTGTCAATAAGGCATCAATCAGCTGAAAACTATCCTTAACACCTCTCTCCATAACATAACACTGCTGTGTTACTATTAATCAGACTTTTAGTTATCATGCATAGGTAACTGTGTTCTTTTAAGGCCTGAAACTGACAGATGCAACTAGAATTGAATGTAAAAAGTGAGTCACCACTTAAGCCTGTAGTGCTCTACTGGGGCATTTGCCATATCAGCAGCCTGGCCTGACACTGGAGTCAGGGCTGGCTTCCTGAGTGTGACCCTTTATTTAGAAACCATATGGTAGCCTAAGAAAGAGGTGATAAGTAAAGCTCTTAGTGGGGGAGTATGTGTGTATTACAATGGATAATTCCATGATTTTCCCTGTTATAAACAGTTGGCATTTTGACCCCTGCTGTCGCCTCACCTTCTTTGTTCTCCAGAATATTTGGAGCAAAGCCACCCTCATCTCCGACATTGGTGGCATCCTTTCCATATTTCTCCTTGATGACATTCTTGAGGTTGTGGTAGACTTCAGCACCAATGCGCATGGCCTCTTTGAAGCAGCTGGCTCCCACAGGCAGGATCATAAACTCCTGCATAGCCAGCTTGTTGCCTGCATGAGAACCTCCGTTGATGACATTGAAAGCCTACATGAAGCAAAGGGATATCAGTTAAATGTAATAAGGTACAATAGCTCAGCACAAAAAATCTGTGTATTTAAGTGTTGATAGACTCACAGGGACTGGGAGGATGACTTCAGGGTTACCGGCCAGGTCAGCGATGTGGCGGTACAAAGGCACGCCCTTCTCTGCTGCACCAGCCTTGCACACAGCCAGGGACACTCCCAGGATGGCATTAGCACCAAACTTGGCTGATGGAGAAAGACAGGTCCATTAGTTCACTCAGACTTGATACCACAACAAGACTTAAGTGTACTATTTTTAGATTGTTTACTATAGGGATAAGTTAGATATGTCATAAAAGCAGTACATCCTGAGTATTGAATATTTTTAAGGGTTTTATAGTTGTACCCGCTTCTCGTGTTCAGTCTTCGAGTGACTTACATTTGTTTTCTGTTCCATCCATGTCCAACATCAGCTGGTCAATCTTCTCCTGCTCCAGAACACTCACATTCTGGGAAACCAAGATGAGTTTAATTAATTAATTACACAGTATAATTAACACATGGAGTTAAATAACACCCCATATGTGTAATAGAGCATTACAAGCCAGTTAATTATGCACACACATTGTAGTTAGATAGAAAGACATTTACGTCATGCCATAAAATATTTATATTTGTTATACATATTTGTGATACTAGCACTATATATTAGCCAAACAATAAACTGTCCTACCTTGTTAACCAGTGCAGGTGCAATAGTTTTATTGATATGCTCAACAGCTTTAGAGACACCTGCAAAGGACAAGCAGACCATGACTGACCCAGACACAGAAAGTCCATGCAGTCAGGAGGACAGATGACCACAGAGAACTTTATCTAATCTTATCTGGATATAAAAGTCAAATACTGTGTAAATTTCAGACTAGTGCAGGCAGCTATTGTAAATAGTTTAGTAATTGTATTCTTAGGTCTGTGAACATCTGTTAGGCTTGGCCAAGGTTAGTTTCCAAAACAAACTCATTCTTCATGCCATTCACTGCAACCTGGTAGTCTTCCTGTTATTGCATACATAATTTACCTGATTACACAAAGCAGGGGCCAAGAACTCATTTACATATTTAACTGCCCTTTTGACCCCTACCAAAAGGAAAAGGTACAAGTACAATGGTGAGTGTTGGGAACAGATGGATAGAAATAACAGTGTTGACATGTTTGGAAAAGGTAAAAATTAGTTATAAAGAGTGTCCAGAGTCTCACCTTTGCCCATGTAGCGTGTTTTGTCATTGTCACGCAGCTCCAAGGCCTCATAGATGCCGGTGGAAGCACCACTAGGCACTGCAGCCCTGAAAACACCTTGAATACACAAAGGACATCCAGTTACTGTGGATGAAAACTGCAGTGTCATTCGCTAGACAGTCAGCAGCATTTGCGGAAACATCTGAAAAGTGGGTTGTGATTTTCTTATCTTTAAAATGTAAACTGTTATACATTATGTCTAGAACCAGAAGAGCATTTTTCCCAAGTATTTTTTCTTAGTATGTAGGAAGCATCAGTTGTGTTTTATGTGACTCAACTGTTTACACATTACTGTGACAGACTCAGCTCTCTAACACCATGCAATTTCACTGAGGCCACAGTGTCTCACTCATCCAATCAATTTTCTCCTCTAGAGGCACAGCCACTGCAGCAGAGTTCTGTGATGTAACAGGGAGCGACAGCAGTAAACTTTGTGTGCATACGGTCTGCAAAGGGACCCAAACCACGCCTCTTAATGGGAGCTTGGCCATTTTGGATTCACCTAAATAAGAAATCAGGGATGCGTGAATCAACTGTGTGTACTCACTGAAGTGTGAGAAATATGTAGGTCTGAAAGGATTTAGGATTAAACTGGAGGTTCACAGCCACAACCTCAGATTTTGCCTTAAATACATGAACAAGAACTACTATATACTATATATACTATATACATACATTCTATGAACAAAATAATATGCCTATCATAGCTGTGAATCTTTTCAAGATAGCAGATTTCTCATACAGAACAATTGTTTTTTTTTTATAGATACATAACTTGCCATGAAAATTATAAACCAACAGGGACAATACATGAACCATGTGCATGTAGTGATACCAACACAAACAAATATAGAAAGCTTATAAGAGCTCAAAATCTCATCATCACTCAGTCACTAGCATAGTACGCTCAGGGCAGCACCACAGCTGAGAGTCAAGCTGGTTATGTAACAAGAATAGACAGTGTAATAGCTATGGCAGACACATTCTTACTGCTGCAAACTGGCTTCAGTCTGTGCTTTTAATGATGCCAGAAATAAAGTCACAATACAAAAAAGGAACTTTTCTAAAAACGCTATATCAAGGTGGGATGCAGACAACAGATTTTCAATATTTTGCAGACAGAGTCCATTTGCTTTGCTTCCATGTCAGTGCACATTCAGGTTGGTCATTAACATTCTGGGAGCATTTGATTGGGTTGAGCTGCTCTTTTGTTTTAACTTTGAGCCCTAAAACTTCATTCACTGTCAGGCCATGAATTCACCAGGATAAATTGATTACATCCTCCAGACTACATGTGAAGCAAAGTGGGGCTGTATGTGTTATGTAATGCAGCAAACAATTATATAAATGAAAAAGTAGATAGTAGATAGTTACATATACAAGTATATAAAACCTATAAACATCATCACTAGAAGTCCCCATGCCTTGTTGCATGCTAATGTTGGAAGGCAGCAGTACAGTAACAGGGGGGGTGATATTACATGGGCTATTTTAATTCAACACCTCATCTCATTTACTCATAGCAGACGCATCAAACACCAACAACCAAAATCTACAGAAAGGAAGAAGTTAACAAATGATGATACATTTAAAGTCAGAATGAAATATTACCTTTCTTGGTATAGAGATCAACCTCCACAGTGGGGTTGCCACGGGAGTCGAAAATCTCACGAGCGTGAACCTTCAGAATAGACATGGTTCTGGATCTATGAAAAGACATAGAGAAGTGTCGAACTTTATCCAAAGGCTTGTTCACTGGAAATCCACTGAAAGTGGAATTGATTGTTTGCTGAGTGAGTTGTAAGAGGAAGAAGAAAGAATATAATATAATATAAAATAATATAATATTGAGGTGGTGCCAAAAGTCTATTGAGTTGAATGGATGTGGGTACACCCCCTCGGCCAACTAAAGTGGTCTGGACACAACTGTGGCATTTTATGTCACAAAAAGGTGTGGCTTCTGCACCAAATGCTGTCCTGCCTGTGTCTGATCAGGTTACAGAACACAAACAGTATTGGGACATGCTTACAAAACCCACTGTTATCTACTGACAAATGTTGAGAAAGACTTGTAGCCATGACTAAAATAATGAAACCCCACACTGAGAACAATATGTGTGGATGATGTCATAGGAAATGTCTAGCTTTTTTTTTGTATTCATATCACTGACCCAATATGTGTCTATGGTCTTATCCAAATTCTACGTTAAGGTTAAAGTAGATTCTATATTCATTGCCAGCAGCACTATTGATTTTATATTTGCTTATGCCAAACTAACTTTACCTACCAACTTACTCTAAATGCACGCATGAGCAGGTAGATATGGGCAGTTGAATGGAAAAACACTGTCCCCAAAAGTGTGAATGGAAACTTGCAGCAGGCAACAGCCAGCAGTTGAAAACAACAAATCAGGCACATGTTAAGGCTCAAATAGGGCTGAATGAAGTCTGGCACCACTCCTATTGTACAACTTCTCAGTCAGACTATCTCTACCATTATATACATACATCAGTAATTTTGAGGGAATAACAGATTAAATGTAGTTATAACATCAATACAATTATACCTATCCATACTATACAACTATAATATCAAAAGAAGGCTTGATAAAGCTGTTGCTTATCAATTGCTATTAATTGCTATTTCTTATTGCAAAGATTATATGGGAAAACAAAATGGCACCCAGAGATAAATAAATAAATGAGAACTAGTACCTAGGATCACGTAACTGTGATGGCTAGTTCAAATGTTTAGTCACGTGTTTTGGTAACCTTTTAACAGTAATGTCACACTTTTAATCAAGCAAATGATGCTCATTATCATATCATAGATTTGGATGTGTTATGCAACATGGATGAATGGATGGATGGATGGATCCTTTAAATACAGTGGAGCCTTCAGATTCATTGTATGCTTCACACAATGCTGCAGAGTACATGGAGTAATTTTCCTCTATGTGGTGGACACACCCCCAAGTCTGCTACAAGCAACTGGTAGGCTGCTCTCTGTCTGGGATCGTATGAAGCCCACGATGACACAGCAACACGTGAACCTAGCATCCGCTGGCTTTTTGAATAAACTGAATTAACTTTTACATCTATTCTACTGTAAGACCTATAGGGTCTACTTCTTGGGGGTGCAACCTGAGCCCCGTTTCCCACCTACTGTGCCGCTCAAAATGGAGAGACATTTCGGCAGCTGACGTTTGGTTAAAAATAGACAGAGGGCTACCAACTACTTCTTGCTCCAGTTTGCCATAATCATCAACCAAGACAGAAAATACGACGATGAGGCTTATCAGTAAAAGACAATACTATTACCTAACAAGGTCAAGTCTGAATGTTTATCGTTTGGATGTCGTGTTCAAGTTATTACAGTAAAATATACTTTTATGTATCCACACAGATCTATGTCATTCATTGAGACAAGCCCCAGGTCAATATGAAATGTATACAAGGATAATAGCATAAAATAAAAACTTACCTTTCGGGCCTAACTGTGTGCAAGGACGGTGCTGTCTCTCTTCCGAGCGGGCAGGCAGAGAAGGCGCTGGAGTTGCACAGTGTTGGATGATAACGGGACAGAACCAGGAAGAAACGACCAAACAGAGACCTGTGATTGGATAGTTTCATTGCACGGAGCTCAGTGATTGGCTGATCCGACTGTCACGACTCAAAGTACAGAAGAGGATGCACGTCGGAATCCTCACTGATGAATGGCACGAGGAAGATGCGAAGTTTCACCTTCATCAATTCATCTATCGTGTTAGAAACACAATTGTGCGATAATGCACAGTTAGACAGCGTTATTAAGCGGGCAATGTATGAGATCCCCGTTTTATTGTGGCATTAACCTGAAATAAGGGGAAATGCGGAAGATGACGCAAAAATGTGTACGTGCAGAGGAGCAGGCAGGAATCTCCGATGCAGTGTGGCGCCTTAGTCACATGGTTTTTGCGGTCACGTTTTAGGACATGAATGATGACATCGTCTTTCACGAAAAAAGTGTTTCTCTTTTGGGAACAGGAAAATATCTGTTTATGGGGCTATGGGTAAAGCTGTGGTAAGGTAAAGCTGTGGGCTACTGATTTTGCAGAAGTTTTAGCTAAGAGGATGAAAAACCCAGCAGTTACCATGGTAACAGCAAAGTTCATTCACTAGTTCATTCTCAGTTGGTAAGTCTAATATGCCTGAAACAGTATTTTTAGGCTACAGTTCTGTCTTATTTAAATCTATAGGTCTGACCTGTATAATCTACCTGTTATAAGCAGATTTAACAGTTGTATCCTATAAAAATAGGCTACAGTCCTATGTGAAAGAATAAGCTCTTCTCAAAGAACAGTAAATGGCTAAATGTCTGACAGTAGGTCTAAACAGAAGGTCAGCCCCTATGAGGCGACACCCTAGTTGCCTAAGTGGGGTTTCCCATGGTGTAGAGTAAAATGTACATCGCATCGTCGCAGTGGCATCCAGTGTGAAGCAGCATCACCCTCTGTCCAATCATGGTTCATCAGTGAAAGCAATGAATGAGATGACGTTATGAAAGGCTTCTGCAGTGACCTTGACAAAGCCACACCATGAGCCACATTGGTTAAACTCGATGCTGCCATCTGCTGTTCACATTTGCAAAGTTCAGTGCCCCAAATTGTACTGTATTTTTGGACTTTATTGGAGCAGCACAGGAATTTACAAGTTGTACAAAGTTTTTTTTACAGGAAGAAATGTTTGAGTCCATGAATTACATGGTCTTGGCTATTTCAAATTTACCCAGTTTTGCTGTTTGCATTGTTCTCCATTTATCTTTCAGTTTATCCTAAATATTTTAAGCCCTTTGGGGGATTTTCCCTAAAATGCCTGACTAAAACGACTCCCAGTTCAGAACAGAATTTACTGCTGAACCCTTTGGAGAACAAACAAATAACGTGGGCTCTGCTGTCTGATCTAGTCACATTATAAGTGGAGGAATGCTATCTACACAGTGTTGGGAAGGTTACTTTTAAAATGTATTCCCCTACAGTCTTTCCTTAACCATATTAAAAAATATTATTGATAGAGAAATTATTTTTATATGAGATCACCTTAAATTATGTCCAACCTACTGTTAGGTGTCATATTGTTTAGACCTGATTTAGTCCTGGTTTTAGTCCTGGTTTAGTCCTGATTTTAGACCTGGTTTAGTTCTGGTTTAGTCCTGGTTTTGGTCCTGATTTTAGTCCTGATTTTAGACCTGGTTTAATTCTGGTTTAGTCATGATTTTAGTCCTGGTTTAGTCCTGATTTTAGACCTGGTGTAGTTCTGGTTTAGTCCTGGTCTTAGTCCTGTTTTAGTCCTGATTTCAGACCTGATTTAGTCCTGGTTTAGTCCTGATTTTAGACCTGGTTTAGTTCTGGTTTAGTCTTGGTTTAGACCTGGTTTAGTCCTATAGTTTAGACCTGGTTCAGTCCTGGTTTAGTCCTGGACTGGTTTAGTCTTGGTTTTAGTCCTGGTGTTAGTTCTGGTTTAGAGGCTCACTGGATAGATAGTTAGTTTGATAGATCCCTTTTATTGGATGGTGCACAAAAGAGGTTCACCACCTACACAAATTATTAGATTATTTCACCTGAATAAAAACAGGGTCAGTGGACAGATACATTGTGTGAAACTTGAACCAGGGTGCCACAGCGGGAACCAATTTTATCTCAATTCCTTTTTTATTGACCAACATTTAACAGAACTAATGTTTTTATTTCATTTTCTATCAGGTGGCAATAACACAGGGGCTCAACAACAAGATTCAGTTTACTTCAGCAAACTTGTGTGAGCAGAAGGTAGAGCTAACCAAACACATGGCAGATCTAACAAAACCCAACACCAAAAAACAAACAACAACAACAAAAAAACAAACATAAAAAAATGTTAATGTAATACAGAACTAAGTAACACATTTATACTCAAGTACTAAGTTTTCTAAATACTTAAAAAAAATATTTCTTGTGTAATTATTAGGGTTTGTTAATAATCTTGTTTTAGTACTCTTACTTTAGAACAAATTTTGTCTGTTTTACCTGCCTGCACATATTATTAACAATTTGTTATGTACTCCAGACTGACCTGGTTCTCTGATTCAGGTTGTCAAACATGGTGCACAGTTCTTTATCACCAAGAGCTATGGCGATCATCCCCAGTGCACTCTGTGGTCCACTGCAGCTGCTCCATGAGTCAGTTGTATTGGGCAGCTTCCAGGTGTGAAGATGTCTAACCGTTCAAGTATGAGGCTCTCCATTCCTGGGAAATTGTCTCAGGTTATCAAGTTGCAGAGATAGTATGTCAGTCAAAAAGTGATTTTTTAAATCCAAACTACAAAGTATGGTATAAATCTGTGAGAAAAAAAATGACCAATCAATCTTTTGACCTGCGCCTGGCTGCTGTTATTACATCATTAAACTTACCCTCAACTTTGGGAACTATTCCCCTGGCACAGATAAACCTAGTGATTTACTGAGGAAGAAGACTCAGAAGCAGTGTTTTAAGTGAAATAGCTGTAGGGCATTGAATCGCAACCCACAAAATTATGTCAAGCTCTTGACTCTGCATCTCGTGTTGCTGCAGTCTTAGAGTTCAATATATTTTTCTCCACCTGGGCTTGCTTAAAGACTGTTTATTTGCCCACAGGCACTGATAGCACAAACATAAAACAACTGGTATCAATCAAGCAAGGGGCCAAACTCTTAACTCTATAGGATATGACTGGAACGATAAAGCAAGCCAGCCCTCTGGTCAGTTTACAATGCAGTAAGCTCAAATGCACAAACAGGGGCCAAATGTGGAGTTTGGTTCGGAACCATAAAATAAAAAAATTTAAAAAAAAGTGGTAATCATGACCAGAGTACATTTCAGCATCGATTTAAAATATACTCAGTTATACTCAATCACTTGCAGCAATTTAAAGTCACCTTAATTTTTTAAAGGGGAACTATGTAAGCTGTCAGATGAAGGGTACAATACCTCTCAGGGGAGATGTCATTGTTTTGCCTTGAATGCTCCACAAAAGGGCATTCTCCAGATTGACAACACCAGTTCTTTTTTGGCAACTAAAAACACTTGTAATTGACAAAATGTAAGACATATAACTTTATAGCAAACTGTGGTACAGTAACAGGGAAACATAACATTGTATTTCATTGCAACTCATAGACCTCCCACCAAAAACATACTTAGTGTACCTTGTGGTGGGAAGTGGGAGTGCCAACAGATGTATTAAATTGCAGAGTAGGATGACAACAATATTTGTTTTTGTACTGAAATTGTCAATATTTAGAATATATGGAAAGATAAATGCATGAGGTTACTTACAATATGAATCCGGAAGAACCCTATTGAGCTGAAAATGCTGAAATGTAATAATACATTGATGTATCTGAACATTTCCTCTCACATATCCAGGAAATTCTAATGTAATAACTGATTACAACACAAAACAGGGGAAGCAAATGTGGCAGTTGTAGGTGGAGATCAGAACCTGTCGTGGCATGTGCAAGTCAACATGAGCTACATTAATCAATTTTCTTTACAACTGCATATCACATATCTAATGCTGGAAAGAAGGGTTTCAGCAAATAGGGTGGCATTCTCTAGATTTTTCTTCAGATGTGAATTATGACGTAAACAGAGAGGTAGATATATATATATATATATATATATATATATATATATATATATATATATATATATATATATATATATATATATATATATATATATATATATATATATATATATATATGAGAGAGAGAGAGAGAGAGAGAATCGTGATACTGATGGTATAAGGTAATGGAGTCGGTCAACCAACCAACGTTCAGAATATGATCCAAAAAAATAAAAGAATAAAAATAAGAAAGCTGTCACATACAGTAAGCACGTAATGTTGCTTATCACTTTATAGGGGCTACAGCCTATTGGTTACAAAAAGATGACTATGGTGATTAGGAAGAACCTCTGAAGTAACTTTGAGGATGGTTCAACATTACTGCTGCTGCTTCTGGGCAGAGCAATGGGCGTTTTCTACTGATGTCCCAACACCTCCCTCTGGGCTCGTGGTTTAAATCTGGAGAACAAACGGGTGCAAAGTGTCACTAAACATCAGCCACTATGGAGCTGCTCTGCGCGCAGCTCGTCGCTCTGCTCCTGGGCGCCGTCTGCGCTTTGCCGCACGATGGGATCCACTGGACCTACACAGGTAAGAAACAGTCAATGATAACTGGGTGTTGAGTTGTTGAAACGCAGGATTGGGTCAAAGTTTGCTAAAATTACTGCGTCAAGTTAGTTTTACGCTGATTACACCGTGGGTAGAGACCGCGCGTAAAACTTGAATAAGGCAACTTTATTCACTTGTGAACGTGTTAAACAAGAAACTGCAGAGTAAAACTATTTCAGAGAGGATAAAGATCATGGAAAAATACCATGGAAAATTAACTGCAGAGAAAGTGTGTGCGTGTGTAAAAATATTCTACGATACGTAATCCTGAATAAACCACTAGCATGAATAGTTTTGAGGGCAGTGAAAGTCAATCTTAATTTAGATGGATGTGAACGGGGCCTTCAACATTGTAGGGATAGACAATTAAAATGTATAAGAACAACAAGAAAGAAACACTGGTGACATTTTCATAACTGAATCGTAATTATCCCAAATAATGCACGTTTTGTATGTGAACGTTCTGATGAATAAAAAGGCTATAGGGGCTATAGGCTACGTAGCCGTAAACGCTTATATACGTTATAATGTTTTGATATTTATTGTCTTTATTTAAATTGGGATGTTATGTCGATACAGAGATCAGTTGTTGGCTATCCTTAGACCAAAATTATCTAAATAGAATTGTAGGTGGAGATATATATTTTAATTGGCTATGGTATAGGTCATAAAACTCACAAGATAGCAAGATAAGTATTTCAAGATGAGCACAATATTATGTGTTGAACCAATGATGGTATGTGTAATATAATTACATTGTGACAGATATTTTGACAGATTATGTGTCCTCTACCAACCCAGCCTTTTCCTTAAACTTACTTGCATACATGTATTTTGTTAAAATTCTAACTTATACGCTCTTTGATAATACTGTGGTATTTCCTTGTCTTCTCTGTACTCTCAGAGGGGGCTTTGGACCAGATGCACTGGGCCACAAAGTACCCTGCCTGTGGCGGTAAGAAACAATCTCCTATTGACATTCAGAGGAGAAGTGTGAGACACAACCCCGACATGTTACAGCTGGAGCTGACAGGATATGATGCTCAGAAAGGCAACTTTCTCATGTCCAACAACGGGCACTCAGGTATCAAATTATATTGAGAAATACAAAACCTAACCACGGCTGTGTATGAGTACAATAACATCACCCATTTTACATGTTATTTTTCCTCAGTTCAAATTGACCTGCCTCCGACTATGGTTATCACTAAGGGGCTGCCAGGGAAGTACACAGCTGTGCAGATGCACCTACACTGGGGTGGCTGGGACCTAGAAGCCAGTGGAGCTGAGCATACCATTGATGGCATTCGCTACATGGCAGAGGTAAAAATCAAAGGGCCCCGGAGCAGCTGTTTTGAACTTCAGTTTTACACGTTCACTAATGTCCATTAGTCAGTGTCATTGCTGCTTACCGCTGTCAGACCATTTGTCAGCAATATGTCAGTGGCACTTTCACAGCTGCAATGGTTATTTACACTCTTCCCACATAACCCACACAATACTTTGGATGTGTACTTTATGTACGGAAAGGAATTTTTCATCATTCTATTCACAATGATCCTTCATTTTCCCTGTCCACCCTCTGAACTGTAGGCTAGTAGGCTAGTAGTTACCCAAATGAAATAAAAAAGAATATAGTAATGATTTGATATTTTGTATTTAGTTCAGGGTTAACACCTTTTGTTGTTCTTGTAACTGTATGTATAAGACACTTCGGTTATTATGCTGACAAGTTTCTATTTGTCAGTTACTGGTCAGTTAGGAGACTGGCTCTGCTGAGTTGAGACTGCTATGATTTTGTTCTTGTTTTGGTGTGGGTTACGGCCTACAATGTTCAGCAAATAAACAACAAGTTATTAAGAAGTTATTCGAGATACTTCCTTATACCAAATCAACATTTTATATCTTTCAGCTGCACGTGGTCCATTACAACTCTGACAAGTACAAGAGCTTCACAGAGGCCCGAGATAAGACGGATGGCCTGGCAGTGCTGGCCTTTTTCTATGAAGTATGTATGGCACCACTCCACTTTTATCCTTATCTGGAGTCCACTTCACTTCCCTGTGCTTTTGTTTACGGACTACAGGAAGCCTTACAAACATAGGATTGAATTTTCCATAAAAGTGATATATTGTTCAGGCTTTCACACATAACCAAAGCCATAGACAAGTGTGTATTGATAAATCTTTCGCCTTTGAAGTCACTGACACCAGTTTCAATGTCCGGTTCCATACAAGGCCCCATTGACAGTGGACTGCATAGAGAACATTTCTGAATTAATATAGAACTATTTTTTGCACTATTTTGAGAATGAAAATAGAATGATAGAATTTTTACATAATTGTAAGTACAGAAAGATATTATGATAAATTATGGGATGAAAACAACAGAGCCTACTAAACAATAAATAGCATGTTTTAGAATGCACATGGAAGAGGTTAAGTAAAAGCATTACAAGACTCTAACAAACAGAGCCAAAACTAAATGAGCTATTTAATGTACAAGACTTTAGATTAACTAGATTGCACTGAAGATACACCCCAATATATTATGATATGTACAGATAAACCTTGTCATAATCAGAGCTATTGTTGCTCATGCTGACTCTGTGCAAACTTTTTCACTCTCTAACTAAAAGGATCTTAATTATCTATTCTCTGCTCTATTGCTCCTTCTCATGTTAAATCCTGTGGAGTTTGCGTTTGTTTGTCAGAGGTTAGGGTGTTACTGTTTAGACATTACTAAGCAAATCTTATCCTTTTGCCAAATATTTTGATAGTAACTTGATCAACATATTGTTAAGCAATATAACCATGGGACTACATGGGAAACGAATACTATTGATTTGCTATTAAAATATTAGTGTCACTGGCCTGGGTCCTGTCTGGTTTTTGACATAAAGCATAAGACATTGAATGATAAATCCATTAACTGAATTGTAATTTTCAGGATGGACATTTTGAGAACACCTACTACAGTGACTTCATCCACAACTTGGCCAAAATAAAATATTATGGTAAGTTACTCCTTCCCTCAGTGGTAGTCAGATAAAGTAGATCCTAATTTCGATGTGTTTCATTCAGGTCAGTCCATGAACATCTCCAATATTGATGTGCGCTCCATGCTTCCTGAAAACCTGAACCACTTCTTCAGATACCAGGGGTCCCTCACCACACCGCCCTGCTACGAGAGCATCCTGTGGACTGTGTTTGACACTCCCATCACCCTCTCACACAACCAGGTAACAAAACTTTAAATAATTACATTTATTGTCATACAACACTAAAAGAACAATGTCTGTAAATGAGCTGCAAGTCAGGATTCTGTTATACAATTTGCTGTTTAACTGTTACATTGACAATGTTTTTCCTTGGTTTATGGTTAATAAAATAGTTATTACAGGGCTTTTCCACTTGAAAATAATAAGCCACAAAGATCAGTGTTTTCTGTGAGCAAAAATTAACTAAGGGGACTTTTTTTTTTTTTAATTAGCTCCAGTAAGCTGTGCTATTGTTCAACCCCAAATATATGATTGTTGTCCTTTGAAAGCACTTTAAGCCATAATATTAATATGGTAAGGATGTGGAGCCAATTCCTAATAAATAATGATAAGAGTCAACAATTATGGAACGATTTGATATTTCTTTAAAAACCTGTGAATTTCCCATAGAGTCATACAAGCGCCTGCCCTCCATCTGGAATTACCACATGATAAATTTTTAGAAGGTGAACACAGCTTATTGAATGGACCAAATAACCTTGGTATTTTGCACAGATCCGTAAACTTGAAAGCACATTGATGGACATAGATAATAAGACCCTGTGGAATGACTACCGAATCGCTCAGCCTCTCAACGACCGTGTGGTAGAATCCTCCTTTCTCCCACGTCTCGGCAAAGGATGTATGTAAACTCTTATGTGAAAGTTTAATATTTTAGGGTGTATAAATATAAGTGAATAATGCTGTTTGTGCTGTAGCATTTTGTCGCCAAGATGAAATTGAGTCAAAACTTCTCAAGATTGAGGGTTTGATCACATCTATTGGGAAGCAAATGAATTCAGGTAAGAGTTTTATGAACTTAGAATATATTTGATTTATTGGTTGTATGCTAAAGTTTTAAGTTTTTTTTAAGGAGGAATGCGTGGGGCCCGACCCTCCAGGCAAGGTAAGATTGATTTAAACAATAAGAATAGTTTCTGTGTATGCTACTGCAACAAAACAATACATTTTAAAGGAGCATACCCTAAAAGTTCATAATAATATTGTGCAAGACAGATAAGTTTATATACTGTACTGTGGAACATTCCAGACATTATTTATCAGAAAAGTTACATAGTGCACCTTTAAGGATATAACTTATAATGGTCTACACATGACATTTCCAAACGTGTTATACTTTCAGACTCTCGTGGCCTCTTTCCTTTGGTGTTGGACTTCCAGGAGAAGAACTATGGTAGTTATGCATTAGCTCGCCTATCCCAGCCCATGGATTTGGACCAGTTCACTGTCTGCATGCATGTCCGACCTGAAACTGATGGGGTCCACACTGTCCTGTCCTACTCCAGCAACGGCCACGAAAACGAACTCATGATCTCCATAGACAATGAAGTAGGACTGTGGATCGGCAATGAGTTTATCAACCTCCCTCATAATTACAGGGCTCGTGACTGGGTCAACTACTGCATTACCTGGGCTTCCAACACGGGAGGGGCAGAGCTGTGGGTGAATGGGATGGTAGGAGAGCAGAGGTACCTTAAAACAGGGTACAATGTAAGCCCAGGAGGAGTGCTCATCCTAGGGAAAGATCAGGATGGGTTTCTGGGTATCTCCAACTCAGATGCCTTTGTGGGGAAGATGACAGATGTGAATGTTTGGGACTATGTGCTGTCCACAGCAGATATTCGAGACCAAATGTCCTGTGAGAGAAACAGTACAATGGTAGGCAATGTGTTCAGCTGGGGCACTACTCCTCTGAGTCTGTATGGAGGGGTGCAGTTGGATTCTCAGTATAGATGTACATAAGTGAAGTTTCATTGTTTTGAGTGTTTATTCTTAAAATATTCTTTTTGTGCCTTTTTTTCTGGTGAAACTGTCAAAACCAATTTCTGTCCTACTCTATGCATAAAGCATAAAATTCATCAGTTGATATTCATATTATTGCGCAACTTTAAATCTTACATATATTTGACCTATATAAGCTTCTGAAAAGCTATCTTTTCTACTAAATATGTACCTCATAATGCAATGCTGTGTACTGTGCCTTCGTTTGTTAATAAAGGTTTACCAATACATTATCTTCTTTTACGTTTTCTGAATTTTTGGATACAGTTTTACACATTTTAAAACTGTTTTGTGTGAGAATAAACAGACCATACTTAGACTAGGGTTCTCATAAAATGTTATAATTAATTGCATATAACATTTTTGAGATTTTGTAGGATGCATGCCACCTAGCTGAAAAAAGCTTTAGCTATATTTGATTAAAAGTTGATTGGAACAATACATTAAAACTTTAAATAAGAAAAGAGGAATTAAATAGTCCAATAAAATACGTATTTATATAATAAAATAAATACATTTCACATCAACACATCACAAATTCATATCAAAATATGAGTACTATGAATGTACTGACTAGAACCATTGAATAGTACAATTCTTAGAGAATAAATTAAAATGCACTAAATGCAGTAAAGGGCCATAACTGTGACAGTCTGAAACATAACAGTTAGTTAGTACTTCCTGTTTCTTGTTCAGTGCTCCAGTTTCTCTCAGAAGGTTGTGACCTTCTCCTTTTCTCTCCCCAGGCCTTCAGCTTTGGTTAGAGGCAGCTCCCCCTCACCTAGTTTGATCTCCACTCTGTTCCTCTTGGCAAACACCTGAGAGATCTCCAAAAATGTCTGGTTTTTGGTCTCAGGAACCACCACCCAGATGTAGATCAGTGTAACCAAACAGATGCAGGAGAAGATGATGAAGCTGAAGGCGCCCAGGCCTCTCTATAGAATAACACAGGGACATGGAACCATAAATAATAATGTATAGACAGCGGTGGGAGATACAAGGAGATTTATGGGTGTTTGTAAATGAAAAACATTGTTGTTTCTGTTTCGCAAATATTGACATTCCCATTCCCCCACACAAGTGATGCATCGAGGAAGTAAACAGAGAAGGGACTGTAGTGTTGTGTTTTTTTAGCAATGTTGTTCCCAAAGATAAACAAGTCTAAATTAACCTCCAATAGTATGGACTGGGTTAAAACTTCCATTATATTGTGAAGTTATTGCATGTATACAGACAGATTTGTGAATCTTAATTGTTAAGTTAGATAAAAAGGTCTCTGTAAGTTTTAGGAATAGCTCAATCTTTTTTAAATTTTATTTTGATGATTGGTTTGTGTAGTCTCTCTATCACCAAGCACCAAAGTACATCTCTGACATGCTAGTGCCATATGAACCATTTCTTTATTGTGATTTTAATGCCTTTCTTATTCTGTAAAGCACTTTGAATTACTTTGTGTATGAATTGTGCTATACAAATAAACCTGCCTTGCCTAATTATGGCATAATGCCACTGAATCCTGAGATATTCAGAGAAAACCATTCATTGAAAGCAAGTGGCACTAAAGATTCTAGTCTATGCAATCGCAGTAACCAGTGACCAAGTTGGAAAAAAAATCTGCTGTAACCTTAACTGTACCTCAAGACAATAGCAATATTTCACAGACCTCCAGAAAAGGGAAGACCAGTCCCACAATGAAGTTGGAGAGCCAATGCACAGACCCTGCCACCATGAAGGCAGCGGGCCGTGCAGACTGCCTGAACATCTCAGTGGTGAGGACATACGGGATGGGACCTGCAAACAGAGAAAACCACAAAATCAACTCTTTCTCAGACACTGCATCAGTCTTCAGGGCCTAAATGATATTCAGGTCTCAAACAGTTAAACACGTGTCATTACAAGTCTGCTTGGTCAAAACATCACTTGAGTTAATGGAGAGGTAATGGGTGTGGGTGAATAAGCAGTACTCACTGGGGCCAATGGCGTGGCCAATGACGTAGATGATGACACAGGAGATACTGATATAGGGCATCCACGTCACAGAGTCCTTTCAGAACAAAACTCTTATCAGCATCGGACCAAACAATGTTATTTTTGTACTTTAAATAAGAAATACATTTTAGTTCAGTTCATATTTCAAAAGTTGTAAAACAAAACAACTGAATAGCCTACATTTGTTACACATAATTAGCTATGTTTTTTTTTTTTTTTTTTTATACATCAGATCCCTTTTTTATCCTAGCTTGGGATGGGTACTAGTGCCCACTGAGAAGTAGATCAGTGCAAGACTAGGCTTATTTTAGCCACCTATTTGGAAGGAAAAAAGTTTATCGAAAGAAACTTAAGAACAGGAATATACAACAACCACTCCCTCTCAAAACTATGAGAAAGACTGCAGCTAGTATACTGCATGAGGCATAAGATTGTTATTGAATTCTACTTGATTCTAGGTGGATACTTGCCCTTCCATTTCCTGAGTTGTATGTGAATCAAACTGAAACTGCACATATAACTATAGGCCTATTGAATTTCATGTTTTCATCACTTTTAAATTATGCAGTAAATTGCTGCTTTTTGTAATGTTTGCCCTCTGTCTCTGTCTGGCTTTTCTTTTACCATTGTCCTGTGCGGAAAAGTAGTGGGGCCCAGGTGGCCTCAGCCTGGTTTAGTGGTGAGTGTGTGGTCAGTAATTCTCATGCCTCAGCACTGCTTCACTCTTTAACATCTCTATGATCTCAGAAAACAGAAATCCAGTCATCTATGGGCTGTCTGCAACACTGGAGCAAATACAGCAGAATTAATGAGCTGTTGGAGAAAAAAGTCTTAGTACTAAAATAAATAATGCTACTGATGAACTGTAGACAGGCTAAATTGTGTGTATAAATGAATTTTTAAATGGATTAAATTGGTATTTTATGGGCCTACATTTTTAACATCATATTTGTTTTACATAGACCTTCCAAGGATCTGGAGGTGGAAATGAGAAATATGTATTTTTGCTTTTGTCTAGGTCACTGCTTTTTATGTGAATTATCCCAGCTCAATGGTATGTATACATTTGAATAAGCAATTAAATAGTTTACTTACTTTTAAGTCATACAAACAGTGTTTTGGTAAGTAACTGAATATGTGTATAAAATCTCTCAGGCATCCAGGTAGAGAAAATAATTGGTTTGAGAGGGGTAACTCCATCCTCAAACTTACATCAAAACAAACAAAGAAAACAATAGGGATAGCCAGGTCAAGCCCAAAGGTATGAAAGCTCCATTATGGCCCCGAATGATTCTGCTAATATAACCCCACACTCAGCGCAGTTTCAATAGCCCTAACTAACAGAAACTGTAAATAAGTAGGTTTGTTAGTACACAGTAGTTTCATTGTAGTTAGCTCCTCCCTAGAGGCAGATATAAGGAAGTGTCCACCAGCGTCTGACCAGAACTGAAGAAGCTGCTTGGATGAACTGCGAAAGGTATTTGACCAAGTAAACTTTTGTCCATTTGACAAATTAAATTTCTGCTTTTGTCAAGTAACTGAATACATGAACTGAAAATACATATTTAAAATGAATAACTGTAAATTTTGTCTTCAAACTATACAAAACCAGTGAGAAAAATATAAAACACTGCTCTTGTGGTGCTCGCAGTGCGTTTTCCTTTTCGAATTAGAAGTAAAGCAAATGTTACTCCAACAGTGAAACAAGCATAAAGCTGTTTTTAATCCTATGTTGTACTTTTACACCATAATTTAAATGCACCTTGATGTAAAAGTATTCCAAGTATTCAGACTATAGTATTTGGACCGCGTACCAGAATACATTGCGAAATACATTTTAATGCAGATATCCGGTAACTGAAAACATTTTTTGTATTTTCCCCATCACTGTATATGGGTCCACACCTTCTCGCAAAATGAAAAACAGACTACAACAGCATAGCAAATAGCAACAGAAATTGCTATTTATAATGAAGCCACAGGCAAATGCCACATGTTAGTAACTTTATGAAGGTGAAGGTACTTTAGGAAACAAGCATTTTGTTTCCTCTGACACCCTCTGTTGCTTATCTAAGAATTAACACCCCTGCTTTGAGCCACTAGAGGGCAGCAGAGTAACATGATTTTATGTGATACCTGCACGTTGAGAGCCACAGTCAGTAACACACAGGCACCACAGCAGATCCCAAAGCCACTGAGCAGCAAGAGACGGCGTCCAGAGGCTTCTATAATGAAAACCTAAAAAATGTCAAAATAACAATAACCTTTTATTTTAACCAAGTGAGTAATATATTCTATATTCTTAATATAGAATATACCTTTATTCTTAACTAAACAGTGAGTGTTGAAATAGCATGACACCTTACAGTTATAGGGTACTCACGGCAGCTATGGTCATGAAGACATTGACTGCACCAGTTCCCACGGTCACATACTGGATATCACTGGGCTTGACCCCAGCAGTGGCATAAATACTGTCTGCATAATAGTAAATCTGTGAAGAGAAAAAATAGTATGTACAGTATGCTATCTTAACTTAATTTAATTGTTATTGTGCAATGGGCATATTTAAAGGTGCACAATGTAACTTTTCTAGTGGAAGGTCTGTGCTTTTCTCCAAGGATATGTCATTGTTCTGCCCGAAATGTTCCCCAGTATGACATTAAACAGCTCTACCATACATTTATTAAATTACTATAATTTTATAGCTGAAAAATACCTAGAAAAACAGGCATTCCCTACTGCGAGCGGGGTTGCAAAATTATAATAACATTTATTTATAGTCAACATTGCATATTCATTTGGTGTAGGCAACAGTAATAGGTATATATATATATATATATATATATATATATATATATATATATATATATATATATATATATATATATATATATATATATATATATATATATATATGTATATATATATATATATATATATATATATATATATATATATATATATATATATATATATATATATATATATATATATATATATATATGCACACACATTTTTAGCAAAGTATATAAAATAGGCTATTTTAAGATGACTGAGACGACTTGACAGACAGGGATGGGCACAAAGACGGTTCCTTTACCGCGTTGACCCCGGACAGTTGCTGGCCCATGTTCATGACAACAATGGAGATGAGCTGCCAGCGGAGAGAGCGTTTCGACAACAGCGCGAGCACGGACAGATGACCCTCTGCTCGCTCCGACTGGTCCTCCACCCGCATCTCTGACAACTCTTCATCCACGTCCTCCCAGCCCCTCAGACGCTGCAGTCCTGGTGCAGATGAAATCAGTAATAAAGCAGTGATAAAATGTAATCTGGAATTTTAATCATAGCTCATAGTACACCTTTGATATAAACCTAACGGCAACTGAAAATGATGTGTCTTGCTCATGGACACAATAGCATGAATTGAACCACAAACCTCCAGGTTACGGGGCAAGATTCTCAATTGTGCTTTTTTTAAAATCTGATCTATTTTTTTTCACCTTTTCTTGCGGTCTTCTCGTCCCCTCTCGTTATGAGCATGTACCTTGGGCTCTCAGGGAAAAATGGCAGCAGCAGGAGCTCGATCACGGCAGGGATGGCAGTGAGGCCCAACATCAGAGTCCAGCCTACAAACACAGGCCAGTTCAAAAAACAATCAGGAAAAATATAAATATATAAATTCAATGTGAATCTACAAAGCAAACGAATGAATTTATATTATCAACAAAATAACACAATTATGTTCAAAAAGAAAAACACTATGTTCAACAATATATGGTCATTGAAATAATTATCTGGATTTTACTAGAACACATAATGAACTTTATAAAAAAAATGCAGTACACTTGTATTTTTTTGACACAAACTGACTTACTCACTACAATGAATAATGTGTTAAATTCATGTATGACTAGAAGATAGACTCAAGAGCCTTCACATAGAAAAAGAAAATGCTGAGCTTTGCTTTTGCTCTTGCTCTTACTTCTGCTCCTGCCTCAATTGATGAAGCAATAAAAACACAATTCTAGTGAATGCGTGTTTGCCCCTTTACCTTCTAAGAGCCAATAAATATAAATCAATAAAACAGTAAAGATTCATAAATATGGGCTGAGTGTGTGTGGTCTATACTCTTACCTGTGCTGTTTCCCAGTATGTTTTTTATCCCCAGGACCTGTGCACTGAGGATGCCGATGGTGATGAAGAGTTCTGGTACAATACCAATAGCTCCTCTCAGGTTTTTGGGAGAGATCTCACCCAGGTACATAGGCACCACATTAGATGACAACCCTGTTAAGATGAATACATTTTAATGCCTATGTTACACTTCCATGTTGTGTAATAAATACTTAAATGAATTATTTATGCCTGCACAGATGCCCACTATAAATCTGGCTACAATTATAATCTCATAGGATTTTGAGATCTCACTGACTCCCATCATGACAGCAGGGACAATGGAGAAGATGTTATTGAAGAGGAGAGTACCCTTCCTATGAAATACAAATCAAAATATACATATTGTCTTTGCATTTGCCTTGTATGTCCATTCAGTTTAACATTTTTACCTTCCTAGTTTGTTGACCAGTGGAGCCACCATCAGTGACCCAAAAAATCCCCCCATTGGATACATGGAGACAGAGAGGGACCACAGCAGAGTGAGGAAGTTCTCCTCCATTGGCTTGTTGTAGCGCCCCAAGTATGTGGCATTGTAAAACTCTTTCATGTACTATAAAAGGAAATTAAATAAGGCAATATAGTGACAAAACAGACTTGGGATTTGTTGATATGTTTTTACCAGAGCAGGAGAGTTAACCACAGCCACATTGTATCCATATTGGAAAGATGAGCCAAATGCAGATATGAGGGTTGCCAGGGCAAGGACCATGGTTAATCTCTGTCAAAGAAAATAGGCATCAAAGTGTAAAGTATTGAATATAAAAATGGTAATTAAAAGTGCATTTAGGTGATTTTTTTATTTTGTAAAATAGACTGGACATATCTTGTAGCACTGTAATTTTTGTTGTGCTACAAGAATTTAATTGTGCTTGAACAATAGCTATTTAGGTCTACACAAATTATGAAATACCTACATAATAGAGACAAAAACCAACCAATTGAAAAATACATCTAAATATAGTAAAATACGATGGTGTTTGGTCTGGTCAGTTGGCTGCCTCTTACACTTGCCTTTGGCCTATCTAGTAATTTGTCATGCATACAAAGTTCATGCGCCATCAGAGTATCCTGGATATGGAGACTGGTTAGACTGGTTGTTATTGTAACTCGCTTACAGCACAGATATAGCAAGGAGCTAAACAAGTAGCAAAATTGCTTATTTAAGTCTGTTTAACAGATTGCTAACAACAAAAAAAGAACATTCAAGTCGAGTCTTACAGCATCAGTTTAGTTCAAGAGCAACATCAACAACCACAGAAGTTAACCTGGTGTTAAAAGTGATTGTATTAAACAGTAGATTGCGTCATTTTGTATATAAGTATACAGTATTATTACTTAAAAAGACCTGGCAGTATTTTGATTCGCTTTGGGAAAGTTGATGCTCGTACCATATTTATTACTTTAGTTCGCACATCCCCAGCATTCATAGTATCCTGAATACTATCATAATACCCCAGCGAGAGTATCCTGTGTTTTTCATAACCGGAATGCTGGCTTATCCAGGATAATGAAATATGGATACTGCGTGTGCATGGACTCTCTCAAAACCAGGATACCCAAAAAACACGTTAATAACCGGGATACTCGTGCGAATGTTTACGCACTGATTGCATAATTCATACTGACTCACCCCTCTCCTCTCGTGTGTTTCTGCAGCCTGTCTCCCCCCCATGACAGCAGTCTATGTCTTGACTCTTTTGAGCAGTTACCACATGGCGCTGGATCAGGGATGCCCTTTAGACGCTCGGCTCTGCTTTATGGCCTCGCTCTGTTTATGGTTCCACAGCCGCTGACGGTGCGTTTGGGTTGAGGGTGGATTCGGTAAAATACAGTTCAGATATGTTTGTCATGATGCGTTTATGGCACCTTTAAGCTGAATTCTCCTGGTGGGATTTGCAGCTGTTGGAATTGTTTTTGATCATGATATTATAGAACAAATGATTGTCGGCTGGCTCCAACGCAGAGAAATCACATAATGACAAGCAATAAAACTCATTTAATGCTTTTATTACAATCTGTTGTAATTACACAAATAAGTACTGGAACAAAACAATACATTTGAAGGAGCTCACCGCCATTGAGGTCCATCACAATACTGTACAAGACGGATAAATTTAATACCATACTGTAGAACGTCCCAGGCATTTTTTACCAGAAAAGTTACACAGTGCATCTTTAAAATATTCTCAACTTCAGCTGAAATGGAATGTGTGCCTTTTTTCCTGGTGGAACTGCCAAAACCAATTATCTATTCCTTTTCCATTTTCTGATTTTTTTTGATATATTTTTAGACATTATAAAACTGTTTTGCGTGAGAATAAACAGACCATACTTAGACTAGGGTTCTCATAAAATGTTATAATTAATTGCATATACAATTTCTGAGATTTTGTAGGATGCATGCCACCTAGGTGAAAAAAGCTTTAGCTTTAGTTGATTAAAAGTTGATTGGAACAATACATTAGCACCTTTAATATGAAAAGAGGAATTAAATTGTTCAAAATCAAATAGATATTTACATAATAAAATAAATACATTTTACATCAACACATTGCAAATCCAGACCAAAATAGTGCAGAGCATGGCTAGAGCCACTGGAGAGTACAATTCTTAGAGAATAAATTAAAAAGCGGTAAAGGGCCATAACTGTGACAGTCTGAAACATAACAATTAGTTAGTACTTCCTGTTTCTTGTTCAGTGCTCCAGTTTCTCTCAGAAGGTTGTGACCTTCTCCTTTTCTCTCCCCAGGCCTTCAGCTTTGGTTAGAGGCAGCTCCTTCTCGCCTAGTTTGATCTCCACTCTGTTCCTCTTTGCAAACACCTGAGAGATCTCCAAAAATGTCTGGTTTTTGGTCTCAGGAACCACCACCCAGATGTAGATCAGTGTAACCAAACAGATGCAGGAGAAGATGATGAAGCTGAAGGCGCCCAGGCCTCTCTATAGAATAACACAGGGACATGGAACCATAAATAATAATGTATAGACAGCGGTGGGAGATACAAGGAGATTTATGGGTGTTTGTAAATGAGAAACATTGTTGTTTCTGTTTTACAAATATTGACATTCCCATTCCCCCACACAAGTGATGCATCAAGGAAGTAAACAGAGAAGGGACTGTAGTGTTGTGTTTTTTAGCAATGTTGTTCCCAAAGATAAACAAGTCTAAATTAACCTTCAATAGTATGGACTGGGTTAAAACTTCCATTATACTGTGAAGTTATTGTGTGCATAAAGATAGATTTGTGAATCTTAAATTGGATTAAAAGGTCTCTGTAAGTTTTAAGAACAGTTCATATTTCCCTTTTTAAATTTTATTTTGACGATTGGTTTGTGTAGTCTCTCCATCACCAAGCACCAAAGTACATCTCTGACATGCTAGTGCCATATGAACCATCTCGCTCTCTGAGGACCTCAGGGGCCGGCCTCCTGCTGTGCCCAGAGTCAGGACTAAACACGGGGAGTCAGGGTTTCAGTTTTATGCAACTAAAACCTGGAAGTCGTCCTGAAAATATGAGATTGGCCCCTACTATGTTTATGTTTAAAACCAGGCTGTTTTTAAATGTGCACATGACTGAAATGTTTTCATTCTGCACTCTTCTATTTTAATCTTAATTTTATAATCATTATTCACTCATATATTAGTTTTTATAGTGATTTTAATGCCTTTCTTATTCTGTAAAGCACTTTAAATTAATTGTGGGTGAATTGTGCTATACAAATAAACTTGCTTTGCCTAAATACCTGGGATATTCTAAATCCATTCACTGAAAGCAAGTAGCACTGTCTTGAAAGTAAAGTACAGTATACATTCACAGCAATGAGCTGCTGTAATATCCACCTCAGATGTACCTCAAGACAATAGCAATATTTCACAGACCTCCAGAAAAGGGAAGACCAGTCCCACAATGAAGTTGGAGAGCCAATGCACAGACCCTGCCACCATGAAGGCAGCGGGCCGTGCAGACTGCCTGAACATCTCAGTGGTGACTACATACGGGATGGGACCTGCAAACAGAGAAAACCACAAAATCAACTCTTTCTCAGACACTGCATCAGTCTTCAGGGCCTAAATGATATTCAGGTCTCAAACAGTCAAACACGTCTCATTATAAGTCTGCTTGGTCAAAACATCACTTGAGTTAATGGAGAGGTAATGGGTGTGGGTGAATAAGCAGTACTCACTGGGGCCAATGGCGTGGCCAATGACGTAGATGATGACACAGGAGATACTGATATAGGGCATCCACGTCACAGAGTCCTTTCAGAACAAAACTCTTATCAGCATCTGACCAAACAATGTTATTTTTGTACTTTAAATAAGAAATACATTTTAGTTCAGTTCATATTTCAAAAGTTGTAAAATAAAACAACTGTATACATTTGGTGGTATATAATTAGTTAAAGGTTTTTACATAAAATCGCTTTTTTATCCAGGCTTGGGACAGTTGCAACACATAGTCAGAATATAAGTATTCAGAATATAGTTATTTTCCTAAATTAAAAGGCATAATGACAGTACTTCATCATGCAATTTTCGCTTTGAACTACAGAGTACTAATGAGAAAAAAAGAAAACATCCCTCTTGCAATGTGTGCATGTGTGATTTTTTTTGTCTCTAATTAGACAGATATTAATGCATAACAAACAGCAACTAAAATAAAGCTATTTGTAATTGTATCATGTTCTGTACACTGCAATATAATGGCAACCCTGTGTAAAAGTATTCAGAGTATTCAGAATACATTTATCCTGATTAACCCATGTACCAAAATAAATTACAAGATACATTTTCATTCTGGTATTCAGTATTCTGTAACTAAATAAATTTTCAAAGTATTCTTCCCATCAATGCATATAGTCTACACTAGTGCCCCCTCATGAGAAGTGAATCAGTGCAGGCATGTTTTAGGCACCTATTTGAAGAAACAGCAAGTAATATACAGTAATATACAAAAAACACAAACCATCCCTTCTCAAAACTATCTGCAGAAAGACTGACAGCTAGGAAAAGTCTATTGCCTTAGACTGAATTGCAAACTAGTTTCTGTCTGATGAGGCATAACATTGTATTTGAATTCTACTTGATTCTAGGTGGATACTTGCACTTTCATTTCCTGAGTTGTATTTGAATCAGACAGAGACTGCACATATAACTATAGGCCTATTGAATCTCACGTTATCATCACTTTTAAATTGTACAATAACTTGCTGCTTTTTGTAATGTTTGCCCTCTGTCTCTGTCTGGCTTTTCTTTTACCATTGTCCTGTGTGGAAAAGTAGTGGAGCCCAGGTGGCCTCAGCCTGGTTTAGTGGTGAGTGTGTGGTCAGTAATTCTCATGCCTCAGCACTGCTTCACTCTTTAACATCTCTATGATCTCAGAAAACAGACGTCCAGTCATCTATGGGCTGTCTGCAACACTGGAGCAAATACAGCAGAATTAATGAGCTGTTGGAGAAAAAGTCTTAGTGGTCCATTACCTCTATAAATTAATGGAATATAAACTATAATTAATAGTACTAAAATAAATAATGCTACTGATGAATTATAGGCAGGCTAAATTGTGTGTCTAAATGGTCTGATTGACAGCATGAATTTTATGGATTGAATTGATGTGTAACTATAAAATGCATGAAGTGGTACATAAGAATTTTACAGGCTATATTTTGAACATAATATTTTTAAGATAAACCTTACCAGGGTTTAGCCTGTTGCAAACATAATTCCACTTTTGTGTAGGTCACTACTTTTTATGTGAATTATCCCTGATCAATGCATATATTCAAATGAGCAATTAAATATAGTTCTAGTCTACCCACTTTTAAATCATGCAAACAGTGGGAAGTACCTGAATAAATGTAGGTGTGAATATACATATCCATTGAGAGGTAAAGGAAATCCTGTGTTGCATTTTTCCCCATAATTTAAATGCAGCTCGATGTAAGTACTGTAGGCTATTCCAATTGTGTATTCTATGTATTGGAATATGAATACAAAACTACATTTTAATGCAAGTATTCTGTAATTGAATACATTTTTGTCACTGCATACGAAACCGAAAACAAGAAATTGTGCTTCTTGTTGTTATCCTCAATGAAAGTTGATAAAGATGCTGCCTGCAAAGCTGCTCTTACATCTACTTAGAATCATGCCTAGCTACGCAAATGTCAAAGTTAGTAGCCCTACTGTATCAAGGTAAAGACACTCAAAGAAACAAGCATTTTGTTTCCTCTGGTGCCCTCTGTTGTTAATGTAAGCATTAACAGCCCTGTGATATACTCCTCCTGCTTTGAGCCACTAGAGGGCAGCAGAGTAACATGAGTATATGTGATACCTGCAAGTTGAGAGCCACAGTCAGTAACACACAGGCACCACAGCAGATCCCAAAGCCACTGAGCAGCAAGAGACGGCGTCCAGTGGCTTCTACAATGAAAACCTAAAAAAAGTCCAAAAAAACAATAACCTTTTATTTTAACTAAGTGAGTAGTATTAGGTCCTATATTCTTAACTAAACAGTGAGTGTTGAAATAGCATGACACCTTACAGTTATAGGGTACTCACTGCAGCTATGGTCATGAAGACATTGACTGCACCAGTTCCCACGGTCACATACTGGATATCATTGGGCTTGACCCCAGCGGTGGCATAAATACTGTCTGCGTAATAGTAAATCTGTGGAGAAAATAGAATGTACAGTATGCTATCTTGATTTATCGGGCAATGGGCATATTTAAGTTGTTGCTTTGTATCAACAAAAATAATTAAATGGAAAAAATATACAATTATAGTAACACACACACACACACACACACACATAGACAGACAGGGATGGGCACAAAGACGGTTCCTTTACCGCGTTGACCCCGGACAGTTGCTGGCCCATGTTCATGACAACAATGGAGATGAGCTGCCAGCGGAGAGAGCGTTTCGACAACAGCGCGAGCACGGACAGATGACCCTCTGCTCGCTCCGACTGGTCCTCCACCCGCATCTCTGACAACTCTTCATCCACGTCCTCCCAGCCCCTCAGACGCTGCAGTCCTGGTGCAGATGAAATCAGTAATAAAGCAGTGATAAAATATAAACTGGAACTTTTATACTATAGCTTCTTATTGGATAGGCTTTCTCAAAACATTCCATAAATAAGCAAAAATAACAAATTCAGTCACGTGCGTTCAAAAAACACGCATTCTTACAGTGAGGTTGCTTCTCCACAGATATGACCTGCAACTTGGCCTGGTGGCACCCAAGGAGACAACCAGAAAAAAGTACATACATAGTACACCACTGATAGGGGCCATTGGAAACACATAAACACTTCCTGTATTTTTCAGTCTGATCTATTTTTTTCACCTTTTCTTGCGGTCTTCTCGTCCCCTCTCGTTATGAGCATGTACCTTGGGCTCTCAGGGAAAAATGGCAGCAGCAGGAGCTCGATCACGGCAGGGATGGCAGTGAGGCCCAACATCAGAGTCCAGCCTACAAACACAGGCCAGTTCAAAAAAAACAATCAGCGAAAATATACATACATCAATTCAATGTGAATCTATAAATCAAACTAATTAATATTCGAAACAAAATAACACAATAATGATGAAAAAAGAAAAACACTATGATCAACAATGTGTTGGAGCCATACACCTTGTGCCTCCCGCCACTGTGTGGCGCCAGTTCTAATTTGTTCTACTATTACCTGCCCGGGGAGGGGGGAGAAAAGGTGCACACAGGTGTTGAAATGTGGAGGTACACAGTCTTTTGACCGTCGTCTATGGAGGGCTGAGTCTATGTATTTTGGATGGCTATAAGGTATGCCAATAAACAATCGAGGAATACAGTATTTTGACTCTTTTGTGGAAGACACACGTCCGAGACACCACACATGCTGCAGTCATAGCGGACCTTGCACAGGGTCGCTACAATGTATAATAAATACAAAATAAAATACTTATTTGATTTTATTAGAACACATACTGAACTCTTATTGGTAGTAATGCACTACACTTTCTACGCACAAATTCACTTCAGTGAATAATGTGTTAAATTCATGTATGACTTAGACTCAAGAGGCTTCACATAGAAAAAGAAAATGCTGAGCTTTGCTATTGCTCTTGCTCTTATTTCTGCTCCTGCCTCAGATGATGAAGTAATAAAAACACAATTCTAGTGAAGGCATCTTTGCCTCTTTACCATGTAAGCCAATAAATCAATAAAACAGTAAAGATTCATAATTAAATAATATTGACAACCATAAATATAGGTTGAGTGTGTGTGGTCTATACTCTTACCTGTGCTGTTTCCCAGTATGTTTTTTATCCCCAGGACCTGTGCACTGAGGATGCCGATGGTGATGAAGAGTTGTGGTACAATGCCAATAGCTCCTCTCAGGTTTTTGGGAGAGATCTCACCCAGGTACATAGGCACCACATTAGATGACAACCCTGTTAAGATGAATACATTTTAATACCTATGTTACACTTCCATGTGTAATAAGTACTTAAATTAATTATCCATGCCTGCACAGATGCCCACTATAAATCTGGCTACAATTATAATCTCATAGGATTTTGAGATCTCACTGACTCCCATCATGACAGCAGGGACAATGGAGAAGATGTTATTGAAGAGGAGAGTACCCTTCCTATGAATTACAAATCAAAATATACATATTGTCTTTGCATTTGCCTTGTATGTTCATTCAGTTTAACATTTTTACCTTCCTAGTTTGTTGACCAGTGGAGCCACCATCAGTGACCCAAAAAATCCCCCCATTGGATACATGGAGACAGAGAGGGACCACAGCAGAGTGAGGAAGTTCTCCTCCATTGGCTTGTTGTAGCGCCCCAAGTATGTGGCATTGTAAAACTCTTTCATGTACTATAAAAGGAAATTAAATAAGGCAATATAGTGATAAAAATAGACTTTTATGGGATTTGTTGATAGGTTATTACCAGAGCAGGAGAGTTAACCACAGCCACATTGTATCCATACTGGAAAGATGAGCCAAATGCAGATATGAGGGTTGCCAGGGCAAGGACCATGGTTAATCTCTGTCAAAGAAAATAGGCATCAAAATATAACATATAGAGCTATAAATAATATTAAAGGTACAGTTCTGTGATTTTTTTTTTGGTTTTAGTAAAACAGATATAATTGAAGATGTTTTGTAACAATGTAATTTCACAATTGTGTTTGAATAATATCCATCACAATTTATTATTATTATTACAAACTACATAACAGAAAGAGGCCTAGTACAACCATAACTTCTTTAAAATCAATCAATTTAAAAATGCATATAATGAAGTAGGTCTACTGCAAAATGTGATTAGAGTTTGGTCTAGTAGCAATTTGTCATTTTATGTACAAAGTATACACCAAATTAAATTTGTACAGATCATTTTGATGAACACATATCATTGAATATTCCCAACAATGATTGCATACTTCATACTGACTCACCCCTCTCCTCTCGTGTGTTTCTGCAACCGTTTTTTCCTCCATGACAGTAGCCTAAGTTTTGACTCTTTTCAGCTGTTACCATATGGCGTTGTGTGGACAGCACTGGACCAGGGATGCCCTTTGGACGTACGATTACAGAACGCTCGGCTCTGCTTTATGGCCTAGCTCTGTTTATGGTTCCACAGCTGCTGACGGTGCGTTTGGTTTGAGGGAGGATTTGGTAAAATACAGTTCAGATATGTTTGTCATGATGCGTTTATGGCAAATTTAAGATGAATTCTCCTGGTGGGATTTGCAGCTGTTGGAATTGTTTTTGATCATGATATTATAGAACAAATTATTGTCTGCTGGCTCCAACTCAGAGAAATCACATAATGACAAGCAATAAAACTCATTTAATGGTTTCAGTGGGAAATGATTACAATCTGTTGTAATTATACTAAAGCAAACTCTTTAAAAACACCAAATGTTTCATTTCTATCAAGGCACTAAAGTATGTGTCAAACATTAAATTATGTTTGTTTTTTTTTTGTTTGTTTTTTTTTTTTGGGGGGGGGGGGGGGGTCTCTCTAGTTTGTATGTGCTTGGAACTGGCACAAATATTATGCACTGTTATAGTATACACATCTCTTTTGCAACTTGCTTATACCTTGAGCTGGAAATAAACTTAGATTTAGACAAAGTTTATTAATCCACAAAGGAAATTATTTGGATGAATAAAGGATTGTTTGTATGTGAATTTATATCTTTAAACAGCTATTTAAAGAAACAAATGTTAAAAAAAAAAAAAAAACACCACTTTAAGCTACTTTTAAACTTCACTTTGGGCAAAGTACAAAGTACAAATAAACAAAAAAAACGACATATTTAGTCCCTACTTCTTCAGATATAAGTAGGCCTATATGAAGTGATTAATTGACTAATTGTGAGTAGACTGTAAAATATGGCATAATCTTAATTGTTACCTGGATTCTACAGACTAAAAGACAAAAACACCTTTATAACAACAGCAGTGGTATTATTGTATCTGTCAAAAAAAAAAAAAAATTAAAAAATAACTTTTTTCACATCAATACCAGTCCTTTACTTTATTTGTAAATATTCTTAATTTAGATGCCTTCAGTCACCACACTTCAAAGTTTATTTGGTTAACTTTTAAAAAATCTTAATGTACAATAGAATAAAATAGTAATCTAATTGAAAAATTGATTGCCGACTTGTTGACTACTAAAATAATTGTCAGCTGCAGCACTATTAATATCCAAATGTCCAAGAATGGCTCACATTGAACTGACTGGTGAGTGGTATGTGCATTTACTGCAGTGTAATTGCCCTGAATGCCTGGACTAATAAATTAAGTGGGCACTGAGCCTGCAGAGTCTAACCCAATGGCTCAATGTCAGCCAAAGCAGCACAAAGAATCTGTTAGTGAAGAGAAATGCCAGGATGCTGTTGTTTTATGTTACGCACAAAATGCCTCCACTTTCCCAGACTATCTCTCCGGCATCTTGTCACTTTAAATATATAACTGTCTAGTAATAACCTTGACTCTGGTGCCCATTACTTTGGCGAGAGCTAAAAATATTGGCATAAGTGTCAGTCTGCAATTGTTTATTTATGTTTGCAGAATAAACATGAAGAAAAGACATTTTGTGTGGAAGTTACAAAAACCTTGCTATAATAATTCCACAAAGATGTATAATAAAAACATTTATTCATTAAACAAGTTAACTTTAACATTTTGGGATAGTGTAATAGCAGCAGTGTTTTTGCCAAATGTTCTTTGCAACCTTTAAAAATCACTCATTAACCTGTAGTTTATCTCACTGATAAATATTTGCCAAAGCAGTACATTAACCAAGTCTGCTGAAAAAGTTGTTTTTATTGGCTGTAGTTTCTTCACCTGACGAGATCTCTGGGGCTTTAAGTAATGACTGCCAAACTGAAGCTGCAGCTGAGACCATGAAACAAGCCATGATCAGCAAACTAAGCTAACTGTAGAAAACTTCTGCTGAAAGAGTCAAAGGAGAAGTAAAGTGTGGCTTTTATGCGGAAGGGCGACATGTGATGGTTCATGCATCCTGCCCACAGTGAGTCTGAGTCAAATGATGATCACTTGAATATTTCATTATTGCAATGGTGAAAAGAATGAGTGATGAAGCAATGGAAACAATGTTATTTATATGTGTTACATTCAGTAAAAAAACCCAAAGGAAACTGTGGGTGAGATGTTTTAACAGCGTGTCAGAGTAAGTACGTAATTTGTGTGCTAAAGTGCCTTCGACTTTGGTTCATTAAATTTTACAGTGAAACAAACGCGTGTGTAATTTTGAAGTTGATCAGGGTTTCATAGTCATTAAATAATCTGAAGTAGTCTGGCAAAATTATTGCACAATGACCTCTAATGATCCCTGGAGGAGCAGCCTAAAGGGACTTTTTTGTTGAAGGAAAAATAAGTACCAAAACATTACAACATTACATTACATATTTTTAAACAATATACATTTTAATATAACCACCTACAAACATCTGTAACAAAAACCCTTCAATACCGATGTAAAAGAGTGTAAAATGAATAGTTCACAGTACTGACACAATATTAAAAATATACACAGCTGCTCCAATGTACTTTAACAGGCATAACAGAAAATACTGGAGTGTTTGGACATTGTCGTAGTATGTAACATTACTCCCTGTACCCACCACTTTGTAACTGTTCTGGTAGAGGGTCTTGATTCCATGAAGATGTTATTGCTATAAAAATATAAAAGCTTTAGAAGTGTAATGCCATATTGTGCAACATTCTAAGCCAAGAAATAACATCTACATGCAGACAAGCCTGCTGCCATAAAAGTTCCACAGTGCACCATTAAAACATAGACATTATGCTTCACTTTAGATTGGAGAGATAGGAGGCACTTTCCATAATAAGGTGACTATGTAGCCCATCCACCACAGTTCAACCTTTGAGTACCGTATGTATTTTTGGTGTCATCTTTCGGTCTGGGCCTGTCCAGTAGTGTCGCCCTCTGCAGTGCCCTCGTTGGATGTACAGCGGGAGCAGCAGCAGCACAGAGCGTTGCAGAGGCGCGAGCGGATGGGACGAGTGAACAGCACAAACATAATGCAGTTGGCCGCTCCCTGAAATGTGTTGCCAATTCCCTGTTGGATCAGACACAAAAATGTAACAATGCCATGTAAAAATTATTATGCTATATAAAGACTGCCTTGTTTATTGCTATGGGTTTGTTATAAATAACAAAATAATTATATACTAAGCTGTAAATAAAAAACATTGGAGGCACACTGACATTTAGTCTTTCAGGCATTAAATCTCTCTTTTGAAATAGGCAGAGGGCACCAATAAAAACATGCAAGCACTAGATTACTTAAAGTGAATCCCTTATATCATTCTTGCAGTAAGCTAGTAATGCAAAACAGACACACAAAATATCTAGGCAATTACAATGGTCAATGACAACGTTGCATAGAAATATATTAAAGGTGCACTGCATTAATATTTTGATAGATTGTTTGCCGCAAGCATGTCTCCATTGCAGTGTTATTGCTTTGCCTAAAATGCTACACAGTATGACATTAAACATCACTATCTAGCACATTTGACAAAGCAATAGCATCTTCTTAGTGACAAACAGGCTGCCTACTCTCAACAACAAAAGTGCACCTTTAAATTAACAAATGCAGTGAAGTGTCCCTCCCTATTGTATCCTTCCTTAAACTATTTTCTCCTTCTATATTCGCTATAAGGACCGTGTTATATATATAGTTGATGATGGATAGCAACCTACGTGCAAAGTGACCAGCAATGGGTGTTGTCTGGCGGTAGAGTTGGCCAACAGCAGAATGAAGCGGACTGTGCTCCAGATCCGGAGGCAGATAAATATTACAGGAATCAGAGTTAACTTCATGTCAGCCATTGATGAGAAGGAGTGAGCTGTGGCACTACTGGCCAAGATGGGACGGTACTCAGCCAAGGCTGCATGCTGCACAAACAAAATGACAATAAATGACTTTTTGGTAGTACATTTTTAAGAAGCAGTGACATTTGCTGATAAAAATGATAAAGAATTGACAAAAATAACTTAATTTAGATCAAATGTCGCTTTAATTGTGGATTGTTGCTTTTCAACAATAATCTGCCTTTAGATACCAAGTTATAAATTGGGTGAACTTCAACAAACTTTACTGATCGGCAAGGGGAATTATTTTGTAGTCAACACATTATTAAAATATAATAACAAAACAGCTAAAATACATGGTAATAACATTAAAAATTATTAGTAAATATTCAGCAAACAAAATACAATAAAATAAATAAGAAAATTAAATCATATGGAATTTGTATGAAAAGACCTAATTATTTACTCCTCCATTGCAACAACTGTAATGTCCTTATCACTGTGGAATTCACCTTTTACTGCATTTTATTAAATGTATTGTCAGAACTCACCGCTATGTGAATATGTCTTTTTATCAATATGTAGAGGACGGGCAGAGTGACATAGGCCAGGAACTCCCAGATCTTTCCAGTCAGAAGCATCCACATAACATGATCTGGAGCCTGGATCTTGACCCAGCACCAGCCCACGGACACCTCAGATGCATCATAGCCAATTTTATTCAAGCACAATGCTGCAACCGTGATGGCCAGAGGAACACCCCAGCTATGGCATAAAAAGCATGGTTAATTAAATTAAAAAAATATAGCAAGAACTTTAGAATATTTAGTCACATGTTAGTCCCAAGAGAGGATTAGATTGTGCTTTGGGGTCAGTTGTCAGTATTCATAACATTGATTCACAAAGTAGCAACTTATTTTATCTACCAGAGGACCTGTATCTCAAAAGGGCAATTGTTTCCATAACAGCAAACTCAAAGCCTGTCTCTTTGCATGATGCATACAAGCCTTAATGAATGGCTCTGTTATGATCCACAAGTCAATAGAGGAGAGGAACAAAATTACCAAGGCAAACATAGACAGCACCAAGGGAAAGCCATGGGGCGGGAATGTTTTGTATCCAGAAATAGATCATTGAGTCCAGTGCCAAATCAGCAAATAGATTTACATAATCAAAATGCAACTGGTTTCATGGCAACACAAAGGATGAAATGTGTAAAACAAATCACTAGTGTTTTTGAATAATGATTATTCCACAAAACAGACTACACAATACAGCTCCATAACGGACTAAAATAGGCTAATAGGGTGCTATTGTTTGTTTAAAAAAAAAAAAAACAAAAAAACATTTGATCAGTCAGGTTATGCCAATACTGAGATTGAAGAATTGAATTTTATATTTCATCCACTCACAGCTGAATAAAGTTGCTAAGTTATGTCATTATTTGTGATTGTCCAATGGGGTTTCAATATAATTATGCTCATTTCATGGCCCATTCATTGTGAAATGATATGTTACCATGGAAACGAGTCTCCTGGCGCTACAAGCCAACGATGCAAGTTTGCGGTTTGTTTTGTCATTTTTACTTTAACTTCTGTTCAACAAACTAACTCTGCCTGTGCCATCTACACTTTTGAAACTGATGTAGTTTAAAAGAAAAAGTTTAAATATTCGATTAGACATTTCCCGTCATGCTCCAGATAAACGCATCCTTTGCACTTGACCTAGCATGTATTTAAGCATTAGAAGAAACAAACTCGCACGTTACCTAATAAGATGAAAAAACAACACCAAACTGTCTGCTCCCCTTTTGTTCGACCTCACGATAAACACGTAGAGGTAAAGAGCGATTGCCACGGTCCAAAAAAACGAGCTGGTGTTGGCGAAGGTGGATATCGCTCCTTGAACCACACAGTCCACCGAGTCCGTGTGGAAAACTTTCCCGACTCCATAGGCGTAGGACACAGCGGAAAACCAGTCCGACACCGAGAGCCACACCAGCAGTTTTCTCGGAGTTGTCCTCAACTCCGGCCAAATAATGTAAGTGATGATGATGAGAGACGAGCCGAGGAAAGACAGCGCGCAGGAGGTCAACACGATCACCTGCTCCGAGAAGAAAACCTCAGTGTGGTTTGCCATTATCCTTCCTCCGCTGGACAACTTCTGCATTCATGGGTCAAAATAACAAGTGCAGAAACATTTGAGCACTCTCTGACAGCCTGACATGTTTAACTATGACTAAACGTCCACGCAGTTAATTCAAATACGAAGTAAGCGTCATATATTTTAAGGAACTGCTTGTGTTTGGTTCAATTCGCTTTAAAAGAAGCCTAACCAAACTTTTCTCTCCTCCTCTCTCCTGCTCTCCGCCCCCTCCTCTTTGCTCCTAGTTGCCCAACCGGAACCAGAGCTCACGTCAGAGTCAGCTGGTGCACGCAGATCTATTTATGGGGTCCTGTGATCTTCACTGTGTGAGGATATGTCACCCAACATGCAAGAAAACGTGACACTGACACCTATATTATACAACGTAGGTATAATATATGGATCTTACGCAATTTCCTTCATATAGGCCAGTTTATTTCTTAAAATATGTATGTTTTGATTCCACATACTGAGGTTGTGTCCTTGGGCTTAACCGGGTTATGCCTCCATACACTGATGATGTGGGGAATGGGTGCTTGATGATGGCACCTGTAGGTGGCAACAACAACAACAACAATAGTAATAATAATAATAATATTATTATTATTATTATTATTATTATTAACAACAACAACAACAATAATAATAATAATACATTGCCTGTTTACCATGTGATCAGTTGATGATTTTATGAAGCAGTATGGTGATATTTAAAATTGATGGCCCATGTAACCTCTACATTGTTCTCATTTCACTGCCTCACTGACCTGGAGTCTACATCTTCCAGGTCAGTTAGTCAGATACTGTAAACCTTTAAGATGTGACCTTGACAGAAAAAAAGCATTTGCAGAAGCAGGTGGAGGGTTCAACACTAGCAGCTTAAAAGATTAGCACTATATCCAACCAAAGTGTTACACAACACAACAAGAGATTAATGAAGAGTAAAATTACTCTTAGTCTGCTGTTGACAAAGGCTGACTTTAAACTTGTGATGTTTAGTCGCTCACAATAAAAGTTGGTAAGAATATATATTATTTTTAGTTTAAAATCATATTTGAAAAAATCATAATTGGCTCAAGACAGGAAATCTATTTTTAATACACTGACAGATTTTCTTATTGCTTAGGCCTCTTATGTTATTTAAATAACTGACTTGTTTAAACAACCATGTTTAGCTTGGAGATGGGTTATTATTATAGCATCATAATGAGTAAATAATACTTTCATGATTAGTAAACTAATAAATAGAACCATTACAGTTCTTTCCTATGACTGAATGTCTTACCACATTCTTGTTTGAATGAAAACAGTAGTGTCAGCATTTATATATATTTAGCTAAAAGGTCACATTGTATCTTATGTTCAATGAGAATGCACTGTAAAGGCAACAGAAAATATATCCCTTCCTTAATTAATTTCTTTCTTTAGGGATCTGAGGCCTCATATAATAAGGTAAATATTATTACAATGTCAGGTAATAAATCACGCTTTGAATTATGCAAAGCAGCATTTCTTTGTTGGCTGATAACTGCGGTCACGAGAGACTTTAAGAGTTAAATTTATGCTGCTGGTCGACCTTGTGGAGAAGCCCCTTTTTACTGCTCCTGCAATGCAGTAGGACTACAGTCTTTATATTTAGGCTTGCACTGAGCACATCCATATTGTCAAAGACTGATAAAACTATATGTAACTTGAAAGTCCCTCCATGTAACAAAGTGCAAGCTGCAGCTGTTTTGTTCAATTATAAGGACCCAACACATTTAGCTGTGGTTTGTGAAACTGAAATTAGTTGGCACCTGGTGTCGCTTTAGATCTGCATTAGCTCTGTCTAATGTCTAATGCAGCATTTACTTAGCAACATTATTTTAAATGGGTAACTATATACTTTGTATTTGTAAACTGACCTTTAATTGTCAAAGAACAACCCATGAACCCATGAAATATACATAAAATAACACAAGTGAAAATCTGTAAATAAATCATTCAACATCATAGAACAAGAGATTCACTAATTTTAATGTTTTCTTGATAATAACAGCAAAAGACAAAATATGTACCATACTTTATCCATTAACTATTGTAATATTTGTACTCCCCAAAACCCAAACCCAAAACTCCACTTTTTAATTGACCTCTATTGTCAATTTCTGGTATGAATAAAAATGAATAAAAATTTTGATCCATACATATTTTGGGTAACCTTTAATATGCTGCAAATATTAAAATACCCATGCACTTGCAACTTAAAACAAGCAATTTCAAGCCATACTTATGAATGATCTTTTTTCAGTTCATCCATAAAAAATGCAGTATTGAATGCAGTATTGATTTTCAGGGGCATGCTGGGAGGCCAGTCACAAGATGGCAGCAGAGGATCATAAAACATGCTGAAAAAGCTTGATGCTTAGATCCAGGTGAAAATATTGTAGATAAAAATGCCATGCTTGAAGTCAATCTCTTTGCATGAGTTCCAGACCATGTTAAATCATCCTGTTGCTTTCCTTAGTGTCCAGCTGATCTCACAGGCCTCTTATTGCGAAGAATTTCTGCGGCAGTATACTTGCTGATTGCTTCGTTCTCACTCCTCACAACAACCAGCTAAGACACTGCCAGAGAAACACCCACAGCAGCCGCATCCAAACAGCCCTCCTCCGTCTCCACTTCCTCCTCTGCTGTGGGACGCCATGCTGTTTGTTAGCCTCACGCTCTCTTCAGTGAGTCTGGTGTTCACAAGTTTCACTCTCTGGTTTTACTGTGACGACTATAAAATTCTCATGGTTGGAGTCCTGTGCCAGCACCTGGGAAGCCATACAAGAAGAAAGTGAAACAGAATTTGAGTTGGATCAAAGTATCAAAAATCATGACAGCGGCTTGGTTTGGAAATAGAATCTGTCTCCTCAGCATTATTAGATGGTCATAATACATTGATGACTCCTCGCTTCACTGCCCACTGTGTATAGGAGCTTGAGGCTAAACAGCTTCTTAATACAAGCCCTCAGTGTGGCTTCTCTTTTAGAGCATAACTTGTCTAAACATCCCCAAAAATAATAATAGACCTGCAATGACTCATGATTCTGTAGCAAGAGTTCAGTTTGATCCCTCTCATCTATTTGTGTGTCCATCTTCTTGTGTCCACAGTACAAGAGCTTTGGTGTCTACGATTGTATTGCTTACTGTGAAGCTATTTCGGGCCGACTGACCATTCCATACTGTCCTGTCCCTGTGGGCTGTGCTTTGCTGACAAGACAAACACGTATAGTGGAGAGAAATCTGCAGTAGAGGTAACAAATGAGGGTGGACAGGGGAGCAGTGAAGGAGAGCTGTACATTAGTGCATATGGGAGGTGAGATCAGAGGCACATTTATGAACAGATGTGAAAGACTGACCTTGGACTGACGCTGTGCTTCAAAGTAATTAAAGAAAAGTTTGAGTGCTGTCACTGCTCTGACCCTTTTGTGTGACAAATTACATTTTTAAGATAATTAATTTGTTAAGAACAATTCATTATCTTCAAAACATCCAGAAATATACATAATTATCATCATAAACTGAACAAATAAATTATTGAAATATATAGTTCTTTGTTTTCCCTGCACAATATACCTTTCAATTCTCATTCATATATAAATGTTCTACTTCGGCTGACACAAGTTGTATTTAGTTAATTGAATAGATGTGTGTCTTGTAGCTAGCTCCCTACACTGAGCGTGCACACTGACAGAAATTCCGTGCTTTGAGGTGGATGTAATCCCTAATGCTGGAATGACAAATGGCAGTGAGAACAGCTCATTGAATGAACAGGTCCAGTGACTGCACAAGACATCAGCACTGGGACAGCAATACACTCCACTTAAATGTCATCATCTTTGAACTGCCTGTGGCCATCCAAATATTTTTCAAAAATGTCAGTCTCAAAGTAATTAAACTGTAACTGAACACAAGCATACAATTTTCTTAGATAGTTTGTGTTTCATTAACAGGCCCAAGGTGACAGAGTAGTTATTCAGTGTACTCTAAATGTATAGCATGTTGTTATACGTTGCAATGCATTATATTTAATATTGATTTAAACCTTGCTTTGTAAGAAATAAATTCTCTTGTGTTTTTAGTACATTTTTCTTTTGACTTAAGATTTAGTGAGGCACTGGACATTCCTGAAGAATTATGGATACTAATACCCAATATTGATCAAATTAGAAATCAGAAGAGGTCAAGAAAATGCGTAACTATTTTAGCAGTTACATTTGAGAAAAGTATTTTTTTACAACTGAAAAAAATATGTATTTGCTCACACATTCGGCCTTTGACAAGTTTACATAGGACCAACTTCACCGTAGCACAAACTGCGTGTCCTCTCCAACCCCAGCACCACCTACACAGTTTGATCTGGATCCTGTCAGCCTCACCATCAGCCCACAGCTCTCCACTCTGCAGCCCGCTCCTTCTCCTCTGCATGTCCCCGCTGCTCCGGTGTCAGCTACAACACCCAGACAGTCATGCTTTCCTGCTCCAAACATAATCATCTTATGCCTAACAATGCCATTAGTATTTAGGCATGCTGCTCAGCAATACCACACATGACAAAAGTTGTGATGGCATGCCTGTTGAGCGCAGGTTTTCACATTAAAATAAAAAAATCTGGTTATTATTTAAAGTTTATTATAATATCCTTAATTGCTTGGATCTGTCTTCTTTTGTTTTGGTTTGATACATGAGTGGCTTGTTGGTAGCTTTCAAAGTGGATTATCCCCTGGTAACCATAAAACAGAGTTGCCCAGTTACTATCTACATGCCTGGTGATGCAAAGGTAAAATACACAAAGCATACAACATAATCTTTACAGTTTTTCATCTATGTTTTAATAAGCCTATTATTAATCGTGTACAGCCACCTACATGTTAAGTAAAAAATAATTAACTCTGTGACCTATTTTTCTTGTTTTGATCTGATTTCTGGCTTGCAATCAATTTCGGTGTCTGGGCTAAACTGTACTTTGTAAGTTCAATGTACACGTTTTAAAAACAAATATTTAACAATGTTTACAGCAAGAATTACTAATAATTACTTTTAATTGTTTGCATTGACTTGCGTTGTAGCTTGTGTATCTCCCTTATAATCAACTATTGTTTGATGCTGTTCCCACTGCATCATGTTAATATATTTCTTTCTCATTTACATAAGTCTACAAATGAATTTCCTCT